GAAAGGAGCTTAGCATCAATTTGTGAAACTCTAACTCTGAGTCATAACATTGAGGAGCCCACTGAAGGAGATGGGTAGGGAGAAACTCAGGGGTGTCGCCATTTAATCAGTTTAAGTTCAATTTCATGTGTTATAACACACCCATCCCCCCATCTTTATCGCTGCGTCTTCTGATAGCTCATCACTGCTTCAGGGGCAGAATTCAGCAACAACTTTGGTTTATCTACCATCGACAAGCGCGTTAGCCTGTCTGATTAAGGCAGATAGATAGGAGAGCTCAATCTTTGGGATTATCATCTGTTAAAAGAGAGCCACCCTACCAACTACCCATGGCCATCATTGGGACTTGTTACCAAATATTCTGGCTCTCTCAGCTCTGGGAGTGTGGTAGGTTGTTCTTCTGGACACCCTTACATTTTGGTAGGGATATAGAACTAGTTGTGGACACGGTGTTGTGATTGGAAGTGATGTATGCTCTCGTGGGGCGGGATGGTTGTTTGCCAATAGGAGCACCGCCCTCATCATAAGGGGTCACTTTTCCTTTGGCACAGTGACAAGTCCTTGGTTGTTAGCTCAGGTCCCAGAGAGTCCTGATGAACTGTTCCTACGTAGGCAGTGCTGGCTGGAAAAGAACTGTTGTTATTTTGTCAAACGAGGTATTCCTTCTGTTCCTGTCCTATAACCTGGTCTATCCCTTCTAATGTAGGGATTTGTTGATGGGGCCTGTGCTTATATAAGGTGGGCAGTCAATGGCATTTTTCTCTGTACTACTGTTCCCATAACTTCTGCCTTGCGTTCTGAGATAATGTAAGAGCTTAATAATAGATATCTCAGGGCAATGAAGCTTACTTAGTCTCTTCCATCGTCTAGTTTTCTTTTTCCTTTAATTTTTTTTTCCCTGTGGGTCCTTGCCCCAGTCTTTAATGTTTTTCCTGGCATAGAGTAGCACTCAATAAATGAGTGATGAATGACTACATACAGAAATCCATCGACTTGAAAGGAACTTTCCATTAGCATAATAGAAGTCTTTCTCTTCTCCTTGAACTTATTGTGGCTATTTATTCTTTTACTTAATTCAACTCTCAGTCATAATATTCCATTTTCAGGACTTCCATGGCTCAGCAGCAGCTTCAGTGGCCTCTCTAGGAGGCCGCAGCTGGGCACCCTGGATCTCCACTTTCTAAGTCCAGAAAGCGGAGGAAATATAAAGGACTCTTGCCCCAGAAAGAAAGAAGTACGTCCCTTTTTCCTGAATCGCTCGTGGCCAAGACCATAACAGTCACACTGGTGCTGGCTCTAAAGGATGTTTTCACCTGCATATTTTTTTTCCTTTTCTTTTTTTAACGTATAGTTCTGACCAAACTCTTTGACTTCTTTGACCCTGGAGAGTCTGCCTGACTCCACGCTTATTTCTATCAGGCCTTGACTGAGGTGTCTAGGTTCTGATTATTAAGTGCTGAGAGGGAAAGGGCGGGGGTTAGGACAGCCTGGGGCTTCAGCTTATACCCGGTGGCAACATACCAGTGTTGTAAACACCAGGCCCACGCCCTGTTCTGCTGGAGTTCTCTCTGGAATCAATTCCTTCTCTCCTTTCCTCCCAGCAGTGCTTCATATTAGGCTCTCAAATCTGTTGATGACACCGTTAAATTAGAGCAGGGCCTGGGACATCAATAAGTATAAGCTATTATTATCTTTATTATTGCTATTTCTGCAGCCTCATGTTCTCCCTGCCTCCAGTTTTTCTTCACTCTAATCCATACTTGGCATCTTTTAAAAATAGATCTGGTTCTGTCATTTCCCTGTTTATGAAGCTCTTTCGCTCCATGGCCTAGGGGACAGAGTCCCGGATCCTGAGCTCATCGTACCTCTTTAGCTGTGGTTCTCGCCCACTGTATCCGTATCTGAATCCCCAGGGGAGCCGTGGAGCTCTCCATACCCACCTCTCTTTCCCAGAAGATTCTGGTGAGCTTTGGGGTGGTGGGGAAGGGAGAACTGACCCATTCCTGGGGCGGGATGTGCCACTTGGGAAGTGATGTTAGGTGACTTCTTGCTCACGCAGCCACCCTGCCTCCCCTGGGAGAGCCACTTCCCACACTCTGCTCTCCCATCTCACCCCATGTGTGACCTGGGTTCTAGTCACACCAGGCTTTGAACCCCTCAGCCTGGTGTTCTGTTGACCTCCCTGTGTCTTGCAGGTGCCATCTTGTCCCCTTGTATGCCCTTCTCCTTGGCTCTGCAGCAGTCAGTCCCTAGCATGTTTATCTTCAGGTTCAATTTAAATGTCAACTTTGAGACCTTTCCCAACAGGCCCAGGGCTGTCCCTCCTGACACGGCACTTTGCATTGACCCCCATTATCACCCTTGTCAAGTTGCAGCCTTATTATTTGTGCCTGCAGCCCCCTGGAGACCTGGCAGGTGCCTGGTTCTGTGGATCTTCTGGATCACAGTTAGAGTTTTGGTATACAGTAGGTCACTCAATGAGAAGCCCCAGTGCGTGACACAGCATTGCATGATGGTTGAGTCTGGGCTTTGGTGCCTTCCCTCCTTCTATGTGTGACAATTAAAAGAGATAATGTACCCCAGGCACTCAGCCCAGTGCCTGGCTCTTTCGAAGTGCTCAATAAATGTTCCTGACCATTTTTATGAAATAAATATTTTGTTGATTTGTTTGTATATAAAATTCTTTCATTCATATACTGAATTATTTATACATTAATATCCACACCAGGATGCATGTATTTCCAATCCAGATAATTGAAACACAAGTGAGTATTTATTAAGCTCACATTGGTTGCTGTAAAGAATGTTTACTATCTCGTCTTTGCACTCCCAGAGAGCACCCACAGACCACCCTGGCAATGCAGACACGTGAAAAGGCAATGAGCCAGTCACAGCAGAGTTTAATTGGTTGTGTAACAAAGTCTTGTCTTTAAGCCAGTGGGAATGAAAAGGCTAGTTGTGGTGGTGGCAAAAGAGACCTTTAGGAATCTTATACCATTCTTAATTCCACTTCTTGGCCCCACGAGGGTCAGTGGCTGGACTGGTTGTGCTTGATGGGGAGCTGAGCAAACAAGAAGACAACTCCCTTACTAATCCTGGTTCTGAGCACAGGTACAGATGTTTGGTTTCTGATTCTTCCCAGTCTAATGTGGCACTGACTTTGGAATCAGCTAGACCCGGATTCAAATTCCGACTCCACACTGAAGCTGTTGTGTAGCTCTGGGTCCCTCTGGGACGGGGTTTCATGTATTTGACCTAGAGGGCTCTTCTAAAAATGACACACAAGTTGCAAGTCATTTAGCATCCAGCCACAATCAATGAAAGCTGCTATTATTGTCACCGCTGTTTTCATTTCCCGTTTTCTAACGCCGCCCCTTCACCTGTCCATCAGGTGAAGACTTTCATCTGGTCAATGAGAATCAGAGAAGGAGAGGCATATAAAAGGGAGACTGAGTGATTGTTTTTTTTTTTTTTTGCTCACAAGTGATTCATAATAGATGAGGTTGAGAAGAGGAAATGAAATACCCGGTCCACTTGCTCTTAGCCAGCTCAAGTGCTGCCTGTATTATCATTTGGCATCAGAGAAATTACCTTCTGAAGTGCTTTGTTTAGCTCTCTGCAACTAAAGGCTGTAGGTCCGACACAGGCTCGGCCTTGGCTGACCTGTAGGAAGCCAAATAAGTTCCTTCACCTTTTTTAGCTTCTGTTTCCTTATCTCAAAAATGAGAGCATGAACCTTCCTGATCCCTAAAGTATTTCCAGTTATGAGAGTCTAAGGAATGATGCCCATCTGAGGGCAATGGAGTTAATGGTACAGAGAAAGCCTGAAGGAGAAATGCTGGGGGTGGGAGTGGAGCAGATGTGAATCCTTTCTGCTTTTGAGCTTGGAAATGATTACAGCAGGTTTTCATATTCATCTGCCGGGTTGCATGCTTGTGCTCTGCCCTGATGTGACCTTGAAGAACGTGTTTTTTTTTTTTTTTTGCATTGTTTCTAATGGAGACAACACTGTATTGTCACAATTATTGTGTCACATCTGCTGGGGAAACCTACCATGATCTCTCTGTATCCTCCTCCTTCAGAGAGCTCTGAAGTCAGTGGCTTACCTGAACAATTCATGGTGACTTTGGGCTGCCTTCTCTCTGGCCAGGACCCTGGGATCCCTAACCTCTCCAGACACTGCACGGCACAGAAGGTGTCTTCTCTCCATTCACTTCTCACCAGAATTGGCACTGGAGATTGTCAGGCAGGGGAGGAGAATGTGGTCATGCTCTGAAGGAATGTCAGACCCAACATGAGTCAGCTGCAGCTTCCCTAAGCACAGCTGAGAGACAAAGAAATGGATTTACCAGAGATGTACACAAACTAGCGCCTATTATGTTAAAAAAAAGCATAAATAAAACAGAAGAAAAGGCACACAGAATGAAATTATCTTTTTAAAGCAGCTTGGCAAAATAGCACTCAATAAACATCAGTATAATAGAAGAGTCATCCATGTGTGTCAACCTGTAGTTTTTAATGACAGAGATGTATAAACAAGTAGGTGATACACAGCCCAGCTGCCTCTGAGGTTTTTCTTACTCTCTTCGAGAATGAGCTGGTGGAAACACAGCTGAAAAGACTCTTCCGGAAAATGAGTCATTGAAGTTGAACATGGAAGAGGAGAGCTGGATGAGGATTTAGAGAGAAGACCCGTTAGACCCCGGAAGCTTGCAAGTTAAGATTAATCTGAATAGAAATTCTATTGCATTCTCAAAGTATGGACGTCATTCCCATTTCTTACTATGGTTAGGCAAAGCTATGAATGATATCCTTAACGTGGGCTTCTTTTCTCTCCTCCGTGTGCCCACTCAAGCTCTTTCACAAAAGGAGTTTTTTTGCCCACCATCCCACCCCAGCATCAATCCCGAACAGACAGTACAGACACACACACACAGTAGAAAAGTTGGAAAGTTTTTGTTTTTCAAAACTGCTCTGCCTTTGTTCTGACAGATGATTTATAGTGGCCAGTGTAGTTAAATGGATATACAGGGGAGCAAAACGACTTATTGAAAGGACAGAATGAGTGAAGGACTTCTCTTGCCAAGAGGGAACAGGGTAGAGCCATAATTAATTCTTATCGAAGCTGGAGAACCAGCCTAGATTCATCGACCTGGAATGTCCTGAGCACTGCTGTTCTAGGATCTTTTACAATAAGTGTGAAGCAGTCATTTTCCTGAAAAGGAAATTGATGTTCAGAGAGGCTGAATAAGTACCCACACTCACATATCCAGCGGGCATGGGAGGAGATGTAGAAGCCTAAAGTCAATGTCTTACTGTTTTCCTGTGCTCCAGCAATCAAACTGAGACATAAAGTCTCCGGTCTGTGGCAGGCATTTTGCTGGGTATTGGAGCTGTGGAGAGAAAATGAACCTAGAGCTCATTCTTTTTTTAAGAATGATTTTTTTAAGTTGTTGATGGACTTTTGTTTATTTATATGTGGCTCACTCCTGAGTGCTTCACAAAGCACCTGTGGCGTGTGCACTGTTTGTCACTTATTCCCACAAAGGAGAGATTCAGTGGAACCTCACAGTAGATGACAGAGCCAAGGGGTCAAGGCTCGGAGCTTGTATTCCAGATAATGAAAAATGCATGCTCAGAATGAAATACGCGTGCTCAGTCTGTTTACCTCACATCACTAAGATGGTCCAGCCAGTCAGTGTGAGCACTGGGCTTTGGACCCAATCCACAGAGGGTGGATTCAGCTCCCCAGCCCCTGATTTTTTTCCAACATACACATAATACTACATGTAATACTTGTTAAGTTCACTAAGATACTTGGTATGGAGTTAATATGTTGCATTTGCAAAAGTATTTTTATTTTATTTGAAGCTCCCACAGGTGAACCTCCATTTTAAAAGAACTTCCTAATTAAGTGGGAGGAATCCATTTGCTCAGGGAAAAGTTTCGAGAGGCTTCAAAATGATGTCCTATGTTAAATCTGTGTACCTTCAGTATGCTTGTCTATAAACATGAAGGGCAGATTACCTCAGCTGGCAGACAAGGAAGAGAAAAGCAAAGTCAAAAGGAATAAAATATTATACAAATAAATGTCTGGTGATATGAATGATAAACATAACTCTTGAAAAAGATTGAAACCAGGAGGACCTATTTATTCCATTATTTTTGTGGTGCTGGGGATAGTGCTAGGCAAGCGTTCTACTACTAAACTATACCCCCAGGCCCATAAGGACTTATTTCATACACTGGCTGATATTGGAATCATAAAATTTAGCTTGAGTCTGGTATGAAAACCTTATTTGGCTCTCTGCTGCTGACTCTATAATCCGTGGTGGACCCTTTACTCTGGGAAATAAGGCCCCCAGAGAGCTGATCACAATCTCTCTCTCATCTTACGCCCACCTGCACTGGACAGTCGACATGTCTGCTCTTCTCCCCGTGTCCCATGTTGCCTGCTGTATTTCACCAGGGTGTGTTCCAGCCTGAACCCCTCCATGGCTGTGTGAATGTAGAACCCTGAAGTGCCCACTCACTTCTGTGGGATGCCGTGGCTGATGCCGGCTTAGAGCAGGTGACCTGCCGCCTTTCCTTTGGATTCTCGTTTAGAGTGTGGGTGTTCGCCTGGTGAGCCTTCTTATTCTTTGCTTTGGATTCATGATGTTTAGTGCTTGTCTTGTTCCACCTCTTAAACTGTAGTTTTCATGGGAGTGTTTGTCATCTGCTTTTACTCTTTGTAGCCTTCGGCTCAGTACTTCGCAAGCTCTCATGAATGTCAGTGGACGTTAGTTAAATAAAACTCCATTCATAAAGATCCAGTGTACAGCGAGCTGTCAGAAGAGCCAGGCTTTACTTTCCTTGGAATTAGTGATAAAGTCTTCTGCGGTAAGGGAGGAAGCTGGAGGGGAGAGGCGGGAAGGAGAGGGAGGCGTCTCTGCAGTGTGGCACTAATATGAAATTTACCCTGGAAAATTGGCCTGTCTGCAGGAACCACCTTTGCCCTTCTCGTGGAGGAGAATATCCCCTTATTAGGCAGAATTTATACGAATTGATAAGCAAATTTCACACCCTCCTAAAGATATAACCCTACTTATGACATCACATTTGGCTACTTAGCAACACTGACAGTGTCACAAATAGAGGATTATTAGGGTTTCAGATGGGAAAAAGCTGGAACAAGGGACTAAAGGTCAGCAACAAAAGAGAGCGAGATGACCAGCTTACTGCTGCACCGGGATTCTTTGCTGGAAGGCATTCTTGCCTAAAGTTTCTGTGGAGTGAGAGGAGCACACTCTGAAGTTGGACATTCCCCCGACAGTCCTTCTGGCCACAGGCACACCAGGCTTCTTCCAGAGCATTCACAGTCCCTTGACCCTATCCTCACGCCCGCCCATTGGGTGCTGAGCCTCCCTTTTTCATCAAGTGCCAGTCAGGGTTGTTCTCCAGATGTGGAGAGTGGAATGGGTTGCTGAAGCCTGATGTTGGATGTTTTTCAAGACCTCACGGTTAGGACGCCGGCTCACACTTTCTTTTAACATCTGATGGCCTTATGCTTTGGGTGTCATTGCTGTTTATTTTCACAACGTACATTATAGCAATAATCATGTGAATCTGTTCCCCTTCTTTTTTTCAAAACCCTGATTTCTTTTTTTTCCCCCTCTCCTTCTATTGGCTCATAAGATTCAGAAAAGCTGGTCTCATTTCCAACTCTAGGGAACAGGAAAGAGGACATGTCTGGGTGGCTGTGGGGAGGAGTGTGGCTTCCCTCCTTCCCCTGTCATTGATCCATCATCTGTTTAGCTTTTCCTTTGGTCCCATCCCTTCCCTCCTTTCCCACTTGACATCTCTCTCTCCCTTTCCTTCTTCTCATTTATTTTTTGTTTTCTTTCTTGTGAGATCAGAACACCAGCAAGAATACATTCAAAGTTGAAGGAAATCACAAAAGACATCTCCGTTTGAAGGAGAGAGTATCCATGTACAAGTGCGTAGAATGGGAAGTCGGAGGTTGACTGGGCAGTTCAGAGGCCTTGGACCTTTGGCTGGTACCTCCTTCTCTTCTCTTCCTGAGCCCAGAGGAATCACGACTTCTCAAAAGTTTCCCAGGCCCCTGAAGGAAAAAGACAAATCAGTTACAAAATAGTAGCTAGGAAGAGAAGTACAGGGTTTCACGAGACAGTGTAGCCAAAAAAACATTTTGCAAAGTTTAAAAACTGCCGAATGCTGACCCGGGTCCTGCGGAATGGGACGCCAGCTCTCAGATCGCGGCTGAACAGCAGCCGAAGTGGAATGAGACCCTGGAAGAATGTAGTCTAAGGTGAGGTGGGAATTCTTCACACTCCACCACGTTCTTGCTTTAGAGCATGAGAGATAGGCTAACTGCCAAACGCCACTAGCAGATGCTTGACAGCCATCGTGAGCAGTGGATGAAGGCAGGAACATGCTTAAATGGTGTGAGATTTATGAAAGACACTACGACCCAGACCCAGAAATAAGACTTGAGTATCACCAAGCCTTGACTTTATACCTGTTAAAAACGAGCACCAACATTTCTGCTCCTTCCCTGAAACCAGAGAGAGGCCATTCAGTACCAGTCCAGCTTGTCCTGGAATGCAGCAACGGCCTCGCCCCAACCTTGTCACACAAGTGGGGAAACTGGGAGCCTCAGATCCCTCTGGGACCTAGATTTCTCATTCCCCTTCAGAGGTCTTGAAACTATTGACCTGAAACAACCCTACCCCATATTCCTGTGCCCTCTGGTATTTTTCTTTCTGCTTTTTTTTCTAACAGAGAATGTACTGAAGAATCGAACCAGGTGATTTTTGAATGCCATTGCATATGTAAAAGTGACAATGGACTTAATCATTGCAGAAGAAAATATTTTTTAAAAAATTTCAAATACATCATTCATCATCACAGTGAATTTCAAAACTAACGATTCACCCACAGATGTACCTGAGCAGCAAACAATAGCCAGGTTGTGTGGGAGACATCACAGCTAAGCTCTCATTCTTTCTTTTCAATTCAGGCACATCTTCTTTGACTGATTAGTGGCTGAGGCTTGTTGGCTTACTATTTCAGATCAGTGCCTGCATATTCTGGCTTTAATTATTGGAGGTTCAGAAACAGATTGTTACCAATTTTCCTTAGAAAAGCAGGTGACTGACTTCTTAAACAATCTAGCCAAAAACTGATGAACAATAATGTCAAAATAATTGCTTTTCCAGGAATAGATTCTAGGCAGAGTAACTGAACTCAGTATGTCCTTAAATGAGGAGTTGGACCGACTTTTTAAATAACAGCTTCATGGAGACACAATTTTCATAAAATTCAGCCTTTTAAATTGTACCCTTCATTAGATTTTAATGCAGTCACAGTTGGGCAATCATAATTACTGTGTATTTTGGGGATGTTTTTATCGTCCCCCAAAGAAACCCTGTACCTATTAGTACTCACTCTTCTTGTTCCCTGCAGCTCCTGGCAAATACCCATCTACTTTCTGTTTAGGGGTTTCTTGTTCTGGACATTTCAGATAAATGGACTCATGTCCTCTGTGATCTTTTGTGACTGTCTTGTTTCACCTGGCGTAGTGCCAAGGTCCCACATTGTGGGGTGCATGAGGCTATCCTCACTGATGACTGCTGGATGATGTTCAGTTCTGCGGCCAGTAGAAAGCCCAGGGGGCAAAAGAAGAGCTCTTTGCCTCTTCTTGATCTAAGTGGGAGAAAGTTTAATCTTTCACTCTTAAGTATAATGTTAGTTTTTTTTTAAATTTAGATGTCCTTTATATTTCTAGTGTGTTGAATAGATTTTTAAAAAATCATTAACAGCTGTTCTGTTTTTAAAAAAATGATTTTTCTGGGTCTGTGGAGATGATCATGTGACGTTTGCCCTTTAGTCTATTGATACGGAGTACTGTGTTGACAGATTTTACTATGTTGCACCAGCCTTACTCTCCTAGGATAAGTCACCCTTGGTCACGTGTAATTCTTTGTGTGTGTGTGTGTGTGTGTGTGTGTGTGTGTGTGTTGCTGGATTTGGTTTGCTAGTGTTTTAAGAATTTTTGCCTCTGTGTTTATAATGGGTATTGTTCTGCTGTTTTCTTCTCTTGGGGTGCTTTGTTTTTTGGTAACACTGGCCACTTAGATTAGGTGGGAAGCTGTTCCTTCCTCTTCTAGTTTTCACAGAATGTTTTGAAGGATTGGTGTTAATTCTGTTTTGAATGTTTGGTAGAATTCACCACTGAAACCATCTGGACTTGGAGTTTTCTTCATGAGAAGTTTTAAAATTCAGTCTCTTGTTATAGTCTATTGAGATTTTCTATTTTTTCTTGAGTCAGACTCAGTAGTCTGTCTCTTTCTAGGATTTTAAAGACTTCCTCTAGGCCATCCGACTAGTTTACTTGCAGTTCCTTTAGCTTTACCTGGAGTTTCAGCGAGGTCAGTGGCGATGTCCCTGCATCAGCAACTGAGTCTTCCTCCTTTTCTCTTTGGTCAGCCTAGCTGAGCGGTTTTCATTTTCCCTATAACTGTTTGGTTAATTTCCATTCTGACAGTTTTTGTCACTGATGTTTGAGATACAAAGTGTAAGATCAGAAAGTTGTGGGCAGAACATAGTATCCAAAAAATGGGAATGGGTATGCTTTGAAAGGAGGCAACATGGAGGTGGATGAAGTCTGGTGCTTGTCTCCTCTCTGGAAAGATGAAAGATGGTATCTCTCTCCAGGGAATATGGCGCCTAATTTTTCTGAGAACGAGAAGCACTGCTAGATAGTCTCCTTAAGCCTTGAGATCATGGGGAAAGGGAAGGGCATTTGGTCTTGATAGTAAAGTCTGAGTGGATGTCTTAGCTTAGAACCTTGAAAAAGCCAGTAGGACAGCATTGGGGCAGTAAGACTTGGGGACTAATTGGTTGATATTGCTGTCTGGGAACTTAGTAGATACACGTGCTGTGGATTTGCTACTTAAAGTTCAGCCTGAGTGCCACCTGAGTGCCACTTGAGAACTCAGTAGCAACGTAGGATCTCAGATTCCACTCCAGATTCGGTAAATTAGAATTCGCATTCCGACAAGGTGATTTATGCACACATTTGAATTTTGGTAAGTGCATGCCTGTAGCATATTTACATCTTTATCTTGTCTTGGGAGAACTCTTGAAATTTTCTAGCTTCATCTATTTAATGTTGACTCTATCAACTTGAATTTCAGAAGCATGTTATTGGCGTTCCTGAAATTTTGAAGAACACCAATCATTGTACAGTATGGTCCTTTTTGTAGTTTTTTTTATACTGAAGATAAACAATTGAACCTCAACAGAGAGGAAGAAAAAAATCTGTGTATGCCGGAGTGCTCCAAAAGACAGGAAGGGGAGGAGGTGAGTGTGAGTCAGGCTGATGGAAGAATATGGGGCCAGCCTACAGTGGTGGGGATTATCTATCATGCAGTAGACTTCCAAGTTGCAAAATTTTTGAGGATATGGATTATGACTTGCTCACATATGTATCCTTAGTGAATGGCATGGTGGATAAATTTTTTGCACACTGAAAAGTGGAAAAATTGGTTTAATCGGAGATGAGGGTTTCTATAGAAATTCTGGAAATTGATGCAAATTGATTAGAATATAGCTGAATGATGGAGACCTTGAAAAGTTGGTAGGAGTTTGTATTTCAATTTGTTGGATAACTTTTAATAATCCATGTTGGTATGGAAGGAGGCTTGATTGGGATTGTTAGTAGGAAATGACAGTCAGATGAAATAACTCTAAAAGCAGAGCCTTCCCAACTTTTCTTGCTTCTTCCAAGTATGTGGTCACTTGAATGAGAACACACTGTAGGAACCATGCATTGAGGGAAAAGAAATCTGGACAAATGTAATAGACATTAGTAGCACATTTCAGTTTACATTTCAGTTTTTCACAGACGTTCTTAAGGAGGGAAATGATGTGAAGAATGGTTTAGTAAGTGCCAGGGAGGTTGGAAGGGGATGAGAATGGAGTTGGGTAGACTAAGGAGTTGTTTTCATAATTCTGGGATGAAGGCACAGGAACGTGGACCAAGACCACTGTAAGGTATAGCTGCTACTGCAAGACTCCGGTATGAGAGACATCTGATCAGGCAGTTTGGCTTTTTACATGACACAAGAAAGGAGAAAAGAGAAACTTACCTGATACAACA